AGACCGGTACAGCGGCAATAATTTCTTACCAAGGATCAAGATTGAAAGTTCCGCTTGTAAATGCGATGTTTCGATATTCATTTAATGAAGACATATTGAATCGCTAAGCGGCGAACGAGATAGTCAACGTTTTAAATTGACATGCGGTTTATGTTACATCCTTCTTTTTTTAGTAATATTGTAATTACAATAACCAAAAGTGAAACAAATTGAGTAAAAATCGGTACGATTGCATTCAGATAAGGATTTTTTATTGTTTGCGTTATTTTTCTAAAAATTACATTCTACATATTTTCTATACTGACGAAAATTTGTGGTAGCAGAAATACTCTACCATTGTCGCTCATAACACAGAAAGAAATTATTTTAGACTATATAATAAAGGTACTTGTCCTGTCAGTATGTACAGCATAAGGTTAGGTACTTTAAATTGTAAGTAATGTCAAATGGGGCTGCAATTTTAAGAGTCGGTGAAAATAGCAAGTCTAAATAATTTATTTTGAAAGCAGGCTTGGGTTGAGAGAAGTTAACTTGGATTTTTAAAAGTTTGCGAATGTTGCGAATGCGGTGTGGCCAATCCTCGTACCTTATAAAGTAATTCTATGATTCCCTAATTCGCACCTTTGAGGAGGGTTTAAAAAAAGGTCCTTCATCCTCTCCGAAAATTCTGTGCTAATAATTAAGGTAGCTTTAAAAACTTTTTGGTAATTTGTTTTGTTGTGCTGAATATGAAATTGTTACTGCTGTTTTGATATGGGTTTCTTCCTATTTATTATTATTATAATTGTTATTACATTATATTATTATAATTATTATTATATAATATAAACTTAGTTATTATAATAGCCTTTTAGTAGGTACAGAAAAAGAACAGTTTTACATTTGTATTCAATTGTTTTCCATATTATGTAACAAAACCATTATTTATTTTAAAATTATATTTATTTTTCTGACATTGTTTTATAGACATTTTCTTTAGTTCAACTACATAAAGAAACTAAAGAAATATATATAAAGAATCTGCACAAATTATTTTAAACCGTTTTTTATTAATCAGTACGCAAAGCGTTGCAAACAAGCGAAGGGGCTATGGCTTTGTTTGGTGTGTGTAAAAACGAGTACCTCAAGCCTCTTACGGTGGAAATAAGAACAAACATGTCATCGACGAAATGACGCGTGTCGGCCAATCGGGCGAGAAGGCCGCAGACGGCGGTGACGTCACCTGGCTACCGACCAATCGCCGTGGCCTGTCGCCTCCGGTCAACTTGCACTAATTGCCGCTGTTGCGATAACTCTAGATTCGAGAGGAATCTCTGCACTCGAGTCAGCGCACACGCATCTCAACGTATACACACAATTTACACATGCAAACATGCAAATACAAAGCAAATAAAATACGAGTTCTTTTTAGTGACAATGAAATTGGCTCTGATAAGTTAAATAAAAATGTCAAGCGTTTTTCTGAAATTCAAAATTAATCACTTATATTTAAATAATAGTGTTTTTCATCCAAATTTACAAATGAGGTAATTTTTTTCTAAAAAGTAAAGCATGGGAACATAAAAGATACGGTTATAAATTAACGTGCAAATTATATTAACCGGCACTTGGACAGTGAGAACTGAAAACAATGGGACAAGAATGTTAATGCACAGTAATTATTATGAACAATTTCTACCGTTTACAGCATGCTTGATGCGATATTTTATGAGTACCTATTAATTAGCATACAACTTTGATGCCACTGGTCTAAAATTCTGACGATACTGGAATTCAACGTTCGAATTTTGAAAACTAGAAATTAAAATCGACGTATTAAATTTCTCAATTATTTTGTGCAAAAATAAGCCAATTCATACATAATCCGTCCATCAAATATAGAAGATTATAATTAAAATGTAAATGAAATAACATCATGTTATAGAGACTTGAAAAATCTTTAGTATTTAGTGGATTGGTTATTTTTATTATAATATAATATGACTGCCTCGTTGGTCTAGTGGTTGTTGTAATGCGACTGCTAATCATGAGGTCCTGGGTTCGAATCCCGGGTCGGGCCAAAAAAATCAATTATTGAGTTTTTCTGTCAAGAAATTCTCAGTAGCTGCCCGGAGTCAGGAAATTAGCGGTGTCTCAACCCCGTGCCTCGGAAAGCACGTAAAGCCGTTGGTCCTGCGCCTGATCTCTCTCCGGCCGTGTCGGTTTACCGTTCCAACGGATTATGAGAGTGAGGGAATAGAGAGTGCACCTGTGCTTGCGCATACACTTGGGCACTATAATCCTGTCCTGCGCCGATGGCTAGCCTCCGTTAATGCCAGCCGCCGTGACCGAAATTCGGTCTGGAGGACATTATTATTATTTTAATTATAAAATAGATTGGACATTTTTAATTATATAATTCTAAAATCTACGTAAAACTAATAAACGAAAACGGGATAACATTTATCTAATATTTCTTGAGGCCTATTTGATAAACATAATTATTTGAGCTACATTGTTGACAGAGTCGGGCTTGTTGTATTTATAAATTGTCCATATATTTTGAGGCAGCAGAGGTCGTAATTAGAACCTTAGCTTTATTGTGAAGTAGCGTATGTTAAAACAATTAACACCTTTAGTGTTATATCTACGAGAATAAAATAATTTTACGTATATTCAAGTAAGTTAAATATTCAACATTTTCTTTATTACTAATGAACCCTGTGTGCATTTGAGTCAAGGGTCTTGGATAATTGCTATCTCAAGCCCGACATCAAGCTATCATCTAGAAAAAATTATAGCATAGAGAAATGAAATAGCTCTGTTAAAATATGCGAAGCAGGAAAATAGAAGTAAATGGGGCCTTGCACTCTATTGTGAAGAGTCAAAATGTGTCGAAAAAGGCACGTATGGCAATTCATAATACTGCGTTGGTCCCTACTTTAACGTATGGCAGTGAAAGTTGGGTGTGGCAGAAGAAGCACGAGAGTAGAATAAACGCAGTAGAAATGCGGTCGTTAAGGAGTATGTTAGGGCTGAATCTGAATGACAGGGTTGAGAAATTGTGTGATAAGAGAAGATTGTGGTTTGCAAGATGATGTTGTGACCAGGATTAAGAAAGGAATGCTTCGGTGGTTTGGTCATGTGGAAAGAATGAATGAGGAAAGAGTGACAAAGAAAATTTATGGTGCAGAAGTGAATGGCAGAGTCGGAAAGGGACGTCCTAGGCGAAAATTTATCGACCAAATTGGCGATTTATTGAAAACGGGCCAAATTAGGAGTACCCTTAACCGACGAGCATGTATGCGTAGGTGTATGGATGTGAAGGAGGTAAGAGAGGTGTGTCAGGATCGTGCCAAATGGAAGTCTGTAGTCTCTGCCTACCCCTCTGGGTGACAAGCGTGAGTGTTTATGTCTAAAATATGCGTAAGGTTTTTTTGTACTCTTATCTACTATTCTACTATTGGTAAAATGCTACTTTTTGCCGTTTCGGTTAGTTGTAAGGTAGGATAACTATATTGTAACCAAACGTGACACATTTATTCTTACTAACTTTTTAACTCAATTTTTTAAGTGATCGTTAATTGTTGACGTCAAACTAACTTTATCAGTAAACCCTTATTTTAACTCTCGTTTTGATAATAAATTACAGCTTCATAGATTTTCAATTAATAAAAAAATCATTTTTTTTTAACAGATAGCACATGAATTTTATAAAAATATTAATGCACTGTTGCATATTACATTTAGAGTTATCAGTTGATTTTAAATTTTTTATTTTTTATTTTATCGAGCTTTTGTAATGCCAGTAGGTATTTTTCCCCAATTTAAGTAGAGAAAAATTTCTTACGGAATATTTAAAATCTAAACATACTGTGTTGTTGCTTGTGTGATGTATTAAGTTTTGCTAGTCTATAAAAACCTATCTATAGCTGTCGCTTCTGGACAGATGACCGGTCTTGTGCAAATATTGACTAGAGCTTCACCATTAAGTAGCTCGTTGCCGACATGAATAGAGTCTCAACATGCAACATAGATGAAAAAGCGCGGACTTAGTGGGATTAAATCACATTTTCCACTATTTTTGCTGCGATTTTTTTCGAAGTATTACTGTCCTATTAAATACGGTAAAAAATTCTAATGGCCTGATGTAGATATAACTAATGGCTTGATAGAGATGTTAAAAAATGTTATTATTGGTGTTATTGCGCAGTTATTTTTATAATTAAACGTTTGGAACCGTGAAAGTTATGATATTACTATTTGATATAGATGAAAGAAAGCGTTTAAAGGTGACTACCAAGTAAATAAATATGAAAAGTGATAATTTTAAGTGATAATAAATATCAACACACCTTGCGCGATGCGTACAGCTGGCATCTTAATTCTCATCTTGATTTGGTCACCTATTTTTAGTTTTTCAACAACTTCTTTTATCTTCGAAAATCTTTATCTTATTATCTCCCTGTGACAGTTGTTTCGTAGCACTTCACATGTGCCGCCGTCGGTCCGGCGACTTATCGTCCGTTGTTTAAAGCTATTTTGATTACAAAGGTCGTGGTGTCACTGAATTGTCCTGTTTGAAAGTCCGACGGTAAGTAACGTAAAATAAATATTTTATCATCTTTTTAAATTAATCATCATTAAAATTTCCAAATAATAACAGTACTGATTTTATTTTTTCCTCTTCATATTGTGCTCGAAGGGACACAAAATCAGTCACTCGATGGCGGAATGTTTACTCGCCAAAATGTATTGGTCATAAAACGTTGTTATCAACACTTGTATAAACGTCTTCAGTGCTCTATCTAATCTGTACGCCGTAGTGGTGATTTGGCAATTTCGCTATCGAGACGTATATTATTGCACTATTTAATTTTTCGATTATAAAACTAAGTACTTCACTTTCAGTCAAATTCACTGAGTTTTCATAAATTGGTGTACAACTGTTTTCAGTAATTTATGCTGAACATGAATCGGGCGATAAAATTAACAACATTATAAAAAAAATTGTTAAAATCATGAAGTCTATTTTGTTTGTGAATTTCGCGAAGTGGCGGATCGCGATCGAGTACGTAGCGCGTGCGGAGCGGTTCTTAGCAGGTGCGCGGCCGGCCGCCCGCTCTCGCCCGATGTCCGAGAGCGTCTGTCCTGTGTCCCTTTGCGCGAGGGCTCCGCGGCCTCGTGTCCACAATTCTCGCCGTCTCGCTCCGCCGGCCGACTACGGCGCGTGCGAGTCCATACGAAGTGGCCAGGGGTTACTCGCGGTCGCCGACGCCTCGGCAACTCGACAGAGACGACACCATACTCCCACAAACTTAGTTTTCCACAGCGCGAGAAGGATAGGCATAGATCATAAGTGCCGTGCGTTGGTGTGCGTGCGCGGGTGGGGCGAAGATGCAGCGCGTACAAAAGAAAAGGGATAATATTTGCCTGCATATTTCATGACTCGATTAAGAGATGGAATTTTTAATTGAATGGACCTGTGATGCGCGGTCAGTCTTTGCTGTAAAATTTTAAATAGCGACATAAAAAAGTTTTTTAAAAGTTTTAGTTCTTATAATATGTCTTTACAACTTGTCTGATATATTTAAGACTTTTGTGTTTTTGTGTAAATTTGTATACCTTCTTGAACAAAAATTTTACAGTAATAGAAAAAATATTAATTTAAATTAATTAGTGTTATGATTTTGTTTAATGAATTATACCATTGCATGCTTTTGAATACAAATTAAAATTCACGGTCTTCAAACTCGCGTAGCATATAGCTACGAATGCGTAGCAATTATCGTAGAACGGCTCTATCACGACTCTACAAATGTTATCGTGACTTGCGTATATGAAAATCATTTTTATGCTTAATTTCAAAATATAAATAAACGGTTCGGGAACAAAATCACTAAACGCAATACGTTGGCGAACTGTACAGACACTGGTCTTTCACTTTCACTCTTACAAGTTTCCGGGCGCATTTTTCCCCAACGTTATTTTACTTAAGACGCTACAGGGAACTTATCTCGGTCGGTCCTTGACTTTAATAAGTTTTATGAGTGTCAGTCGAGACTTAACTGGCGCGAGAACGGGCGGCGAAAAAGAACTTTTTCATAATTGTTTCTCAACTGACTTCGTGAACTTTTAAATGTTGCGTACGAATATTGAAAGTTTTATATGTCATCTAAGGATGATAGACTAAAACAATGAAGATTACCATACATGCACGACTGATAACTACTTTTTTACATATTTGAATTTGAAATTATAACAAAATAAAAGTACTTTATTTATTTATTTTAATCATTGATTTAATTAAATGTTATCAAAAATCGCGTAAAAATATTCTTAAAGTATTGTGATCGTTTTCATGTCTTTAAAAATGTTTTTTTATTCTTCAAACAATAACTGCAAAGTGTGGAACAACTACGTTGGTCAAACAAATAGGTTGGACATTAATATATTAGAAGTCTGGGTCATTTTAGGCTCGACTCAGATGCAAGTAGAAAATCATTTCGTCTCCCTCTAAACGCTACGTATGTAGGGTGGAAATCGAGACAGGTAAGAAATACACGTTTTCCCAAATATAAGACTAGGGATATAATGACGTATGTATGCTCATCTCATTCATATGTTCTGATATGTTAGGGACATGAAAGGGATGGTGGTACGTACGGGAAAACTCTCGTGTGTGGAAGCTCCAACGACAACTCGGCGCTACTCGACGCCAGGCGGCGTGGAAATGGGAAAATATACAAACCTTCGTAGAGGTTCCTTTCAATTTATGAAAATGTGCTGAGAAAACTGTATTAAATAAAATAAAATAATTATTAAAATTAAAACTATGACATTAATTAACATATAACTATTAACTTCTACATATTATTGAAAATGCATTATATGTTAATTGTCATATTGTGAAATAATTTCTTGTAAATTTATAGTGTTAAAAGTTTTGTCATTTAAATTAATTATTTGAAAACAATATTATTAAATGTTTTTAAATTTAAATAAAATTAGTTTTTACGGATTTATCGCGTATTAACTTATATTCCCCGCGTTTCGAGCACTTGATATCACCCATGGTCACGGGGGAGACTGAGCTGTTCGACGTTCCAATGTCATAGTTCTCCTTGCGAGGTGATTTTTCAATAAAATGACTTGATTAAAGGAAAGCAAACAATTCCTTGGTTTTTGAGGGGTGTTTCTTTTTTGTTTACTGCTCGATTGTCTATAACCTTGTAGTAGACAATCGAGCTCCATGGCAGTTAAAGGATTTTGGTGGTTTTTACTTGAATTAAGGCATATTTCGATCGTTTTATGTATAATAAGGGTGACAAGCGAGCACACAATCCACCTGATGGTAAGTGCACGCTGTGGCCCATACGTTGATGCTGTGGCCCATACGTTGATGCTGTGGCCCATAAGTGGATGCTGAGACCCATAAATTACAAGTTGATTTTTATGAAATATAATATTTTCGTTTTGCGATTATTATTTGATATGATACAGGCTCCTTTATATACGTGCAACTTTAGAAAACAATATATTTACATGAATGTTTTTCATAGGTTTTTTCGGAGATTAATTAGTTGGGTGTTCAAGCTAAAAAAACGCTTTCTGAAATTATATGACAATAAAAATAATATTTTGAATAAAATAAAATTTACGTTACGGTTGTTATTTAGTAGATTACATTCAGGTAATCTTTGCATTCTGTTTATTCTATCAACGGTAGTAAGTTTTAGGGGACATTAGATTCGTTAGGGATATTTCTAATTTCGCTTTCTGGAAATCGTGAATTTTTTTTAAATGTTGCTATGCAAAGACTATATAACCAATTGACTGCGCATACAGTGCCCCGACGCCCGAAAACTATTAGTATTTTGTCGCCTATGCATCGGCTATGGTAGTATTAACCATTTTAGTATTGTCCAAGTGTTAGACCTGTGTGCACGCTAAATTAATGCAAATTTTTATAATTTTTATGCAATTATAATGCATCAAAATGCCTTCATGCGCAGTGAAGTGGTGTGGGAAACATTCCAGGACAGATGTCCAAAAATAATGGAGTAACTTTTCATTGCTAAGTACAGTACAAAATATGAAAATTATTGTTGATTAATTCAGATTATGAGCCACCGCAGGGGTCTATCTAAAACGGTGGCCGGGTAAATAACGACATGGTTGAGTCGCGCGTTGATGTCTTTTGGAAAAGTCTCGTTCTATTATTAGACAATTCTAATGCTTCTATCCCTTTCTTTCCCTTTGTATGTTTATCGTAAACATTAGTACTTACTGTTACCTTTAATAGCTGAAAGTCGATATCGAAAATAATAAAATTATTAAGATTATTCAATTCACACACTGTGAAAAAATACTTATCTACTTTTAACCGTCTTCAGAAAAAAGAGGAGGTTCTCAGTTTGTCGGTATTTTTTCTTAGTTAAAGTTTATAGTTAACTAGTTAAATTAGTTAGATTGGTGTACCAAATCAGAACGGCTTATAATTTTAAAAAGACACTAAAGACAAGTCATTGTACGGATCCACTACAGTAATAGATATTTGTCGTCGTTGTAAAATTTTTAATAATAGGGCGATCAATGAGAGTGGTTCAAAAGTACTGTCTTCGAAATATAATACCAATTATATTATGAGAATGGTTTTAAAATCTCTGATTAGGTATTATTGATTCCCGGATATTTCATCAGTATGTAATAGAATCAACAAATCATTTAATTGAATTAGCAAGATGCATAATTTACAAATTTAACGCTTGTTTATATTTTTTTACAAAGAACAATCAGGACCCCTAAACTTTAATTCGAAATAAATATAAAAAATTATTCATTTTAAAAATCAATAATAATATAATAAATACATGTTTTCGTTTAACTGATTGATTTTGATTAAATATTATTTATATGATTTTAATTGAGTATTTTTCATAATGATAAAATCCATTTTATCGATAACGAATATTTTCCTTTATTAAGAAGAGCAACCCTAAAGATAGCCATAACAACGCAACTTGACCATTTGCAGCCACGCGTTCCTCCTCGTCCCCCCGGCCCGCAGTAGTGAGTCGTACGCTTAGAAGAAATCTGCCTATACGCTCTCTAGTGGTTATATTCTCTATGTTGCTATGATAAAAATATTGTTTCATCTAATAATATAATTATATGTATCTCCATGCGGAGAGTAGAACTTGCAGAGTCATAGTAGTTCCATACTAATCCATATTAAGAATGCTTAGTAGGCGAGTTAATTCCGGTCTTCATCACTAGATTATGAATGGACGTTCAGCAATCAGTCGATCGTAAGTTACTAACCCGTCTATCGGTAGAATGTACACGATACGTAAGGGTACGAATTCTTTTCGAAATTCTACACTCGTACAAATTATTGCACGCACATTTCTTTGGTTTCTGTTACTATTTTAGATAAAAATATGAAGCTTAATTAGGTATTCTAAAGGTGAGGTTGGTAGGTAGCTTTGTCAGTAAATAAGAAAGTTTCATCCACATGGATCTCTCATTTAACAGGGAGGTTTTGCCGTAATCAGCACTGTGGGTGTCGGTCTCAGCATGAGATATCCCGCACCTTTGACATTGATTCGTAGTCCATCGGGGAAATAAGGTTCGAATTCTGTACAATATTTTACACCGGTCATTAGCCGGAAGATTTTAACGTTTTCTTAAAATTAAATAGTTACGCTTATTTATAAAGTATGCACTTTAAATTGCCAAAAAAAAAACTAAATTTTAATTTTGCTAGATATATTATTGTTTCATTCTTATTTCAACCACTTGTAGCGTCCAAATGATTGAAACTATTTAAGTAACAAGAACCGTTGAGAGACGTTACATCCTTTTAGTTTTTGAGATGTAAAAACTACTTTTTTCTAAAGATCTATAATTACACGTTTGACGGTCGCTTTTTTGTAATCTGTGACAGATGCGATGCAGGATACACGAAATTGCTCAATTTGAAACTTGTAACGTTATATTTGTGAAAGTATCGAGTTTTGGGGTTTGTATTTGCACGTGAAAATTATCATTAATTAGTAAGATAAATATTTTTTTTAAATTAATGAAATATTTAAATATGTCAGTGATTGAGATTTTGAAATAAAAATACTTTTACCACTTTTACATATGACTATGATATTAATTTTGGCCATGGCTTTTTCATTTAAGTTTTTTCTACATATCTGTTTATAGCCGTTGTAGTTGTGGATTCAAGTATTCTTCTTGATTCGTTTAATCAAAGGTCAAAATTTTTTGATTCATGAAGAGGGAACTTACACGATTTTTAGGCCAAAGAAATGAAGTAAATTTTGAAAATATGTAAAATCCGTCAAAACAAATAAAAAATGTAGCAGTCATTTCTCATTATTTTTTTATAGAATAAGGGTGACAAACTAGCACACAG